CCTCCTGGGACCCTCTCCATTACTCCCTGGTCCCTCCTCAGGGCCCCTGGATCCCTCTCACTCAGCCCTTGTCCCTTTCCAGGTGACAAGGACTGCGTCCCAGGGGCTGGTCCCACAGGAGAAGTTCCTGCCCTGGGTCCCAGCGCCCATGGGCACTCAGAGCTCTTTGAGGTCCCTGGTGGGTGAGTGGAGTGGACCTCAGGTAGGTCCATGTCATGTCATTCCTGTCCTGCCCTTTATTACCGACCCTTCAACCCAGAGACCCTCCCCCACACAGAACACACATGCGAAATGTCAGATGAGAAATGACAGGAGTTTATTCAGGAGAAGGGGAAACGGGGAGGGATGGCCACCTGCCCAGTCTGAGGGACCAGGGCAAGAGCCGCAGGGGGACAGTGGGGAGCGGGGGAAGGGAGGGTCTGAGGGAGAAGTGTCCCCAGAAGTGGGGACTCAGGTCCTAGGAGCACTCTGAGGGGGCCACTGTCTTCTCCACGGTCTTCCCATCGTGCGTGACCTGGCAGCTGTAGGCGCTGGCGGACTTCCAGTCTTGGCTGGACACGCTCAGGTAGCTGCTGGCCGCGTACTTGTTGTTGCTCTGCTTGGAGGGCTTGGTGGTCTCCACGCCCTGGGTGACGGGGGTGCCATTTGCCTTCCAGGCCACCGTCACGCTGCCCGGGTAGAAGTCACTCATGAGACACACCAGTGTGGCCTTGTTGTTGGCGAGCTCCTCAGCGGATGGCGGGAACAGAGACACGGAGGGTGCAGACTTGGGCTGACCTGTGGGTGCGGGAGGGGCAGGAGGGGAGAGGCTCAGGGTCCATCCTGAAAGCTGCTGACCTCGGTCTTCCTGTGGGCACAGTGTCCTGAGGACCATGCAGGACCCCGAGGGCAGGGGCCTCTCCTGGTGTGAGAGTCCATGCCATGAGTTTGGGGTGTTCATAGCTCAACTCCCCATTTTCCTGAGAAACCCTGAGCCTGGAACCTGCCATCACCGTCCTTGTGGGCCCCGTTCTGCCCCCCACACATCTGACTGTCACCCTCTGGCTCTGCCTTCTCCTGGTATCTGACTGGGCCTGTCTGTGTCTGTCAGTCTGTTTGTCCCACAAAAGATGCTCTGAGCCCTCTTACCTCCTGCTGGGTCCATCTGTGGACACCTCTGACCTGATCCTCTGTGCCGGGGGCTTCAGAGCATCGGCCAAAGGAGTCAGTTTTCACCCCCACATCTATGTCTCCTGCTCCCTGTCTAAACTGGGTGGCAGCTTTTTCTGATGAACAAAATGTCTGTCTGTCTGTCTTTGGGTCTCTCTCATTCTACAGTCAATGGCATCCCCACAAATTGGTCAGATAACTAGAGCTTTCATGCCATGGATTCTGCCATTTCTTCTGAGAGGATGTTCATCCTGCACAGACCAAAGGCCAATTGTCCTCACACCTGTCCTTCCATGCCCTTCCTCAAGCACCTTCTCCTCCCCGCTGTGTCCTTTCTCCTGCAGGCCTCCATGGTGCGAGGCTGGTCAGGACTCCGCATGGCAGCTCCATGCAGCCCCGGGGAGCCCTGCACCCCAGCACCATTCTTGGCCCCTGTTCATGAGTCCACAGTCCCTGAGACCTGCCCTGAACCTCTGACCTGGGTGTCTCTAGCCTTGGCCTTGAGAGTTCTGGGTCACTCCAAAATTTTCACCCGGTTCCCCTCAGTACTTCTCTTCCTCTCTTCCCCTTAAGACAGGGGCCACTGATGATGACCCCCTATAATCTTGTCCCACAGGAATTTAACAGGGGAAGACAGAACAGAGCCCATCTAGAATCCAGCATGACCCTCAGAGACAGAAGAAGCCACACACACAGAGCATCCCATGCATTTCTCTGTCTCTGGGGACAGAGGTGAACGGCTGAGTGTGACCAAATAGGACAGTAAGACCAGAAACCCATAGAGCTCAGGCTCCCAAGGGCCGGGATCCAGGGTGAAAACCTGGACACAGGCTGAGATAGGACCCAGAGAGCCGGAACTCGCAGAAAATGGCCCAATCCTCTGGGAGAGCAGCAAAGGAGAGGGAAGGAGAGACTCACCTAGGACGGTCAGCTGGGTCCCTCCGCCGAACACAAAACACTGTGACACAGGCTCATACAAAAACCTCTCTCTGGGAGGCCCTGCCCCACCCCTGGGCCCCCACCTGCAGCTGTGCTGGAGGAAGCCTGGGCCACTGCCCCCGGCTGCTGTCTGCTCTGCCAGGGGCGCGCTCTGTCCCCCCTCCACCACCTCAGCAGATTGTAGGGTGGATGGATGACACAGCGACTTGTACAGCAGCAGGACTGTTGGAAGCAATTCTCCCACAGGAACTTGGTGCCTGATAGGCTGTTTTTACCATGGTCTCCTGGGATTGGGATGAGTTTGGAGGGATCTGTTTCACTGTGAGTGAGGTTCCTACGATTCATCACAGTAGCAACATTATGAAGTAGCAACGAAAATAATTTTATGGTTGGGTCACAACATGAGGAACTGTGTTTAAAGGGCCAGAAGGTTGAGAACCACTGTTTCAAAGGAACTTGGTGCCTGATAGGCTGTTTCTACTGCGGTCTCCTGGGATTGGGATGAGCTTGGAGGGCATTGATTGCACTGTGAGTGAGGTGCCATGGCCTAGGCCAGTGGTCCGCAAACTCATTAGTCAACAGAACCAAATATCAACAGTACAACGATTGAAATTTCTTTAGAGCCATATTTTTAAAACTGAAACTATATAGGTAGGTACATTGTTATTAACTTAATTAGGGTACTCCTAAGGCTTAGGAAGAGCCATACTCAAGGGGCCAAAGAGCCGCATGTGGCTCGGGAGCCGCAGTTCGCCGACCACGGGCCTAGGGTGATAGGCAACAGGGGAGCTACAGCATGCTCGCTTCTTGTCACCAGGAACCATAGAGATCCCCTGGGGTCATGTCGGGACCCACAGAAGCCTCCCAAAGAGGCTCCCAATGGACAAATGGCCATCGTTCGCAGCCACATTGCTGTCATCACTTGAGGAACCCGTGGTGCTTTCACACGGCAGATCCATTCACCTGCTAGAGTTCCCCAAGCCACTCAGTGGCCACTGTTACCATGGGAGGACAGAGGGGACCAGACCACCATCCTATAAACTGGAGGACCAGAGAGAAACATCCCCATTCCCTCATCTGTGCTAGCGTGTGACACACACTGCCTGGTGGAGACAGATCTGCTGGAGGGACTCCTTTCATGCACACGTGGGGCACCACAGGAGGAGGAGGGCGAATCTGGAATATCCCATGATGCATTCCTTCCTATCTGATGGACCA